TGCCCAACAATGTACATTATCGGTGATAAGCTGCATGTCAGACATAAACAAAGCACACCACCACCAACAGAAAACCTCAGACATTGTTATAAACAGAATTCGATAACTGATCCGAGAAAAGTGACCAAATCAGTGTTGTGATATTATAAACTTTCATCTATATCTAATATTCCAAAGAACCTCTCAATTAGAAATGAACCTTTCCTGTGGTTTCGAATGTGCATGCGCTTTTATGAATCACTGTGTGAACTTCTTGACATTCACCTAGAAGATATGAGTTGAAGTTGATAAACATGCTTTTCCGTTATTGTAACTGTGAAGCAATATTTTGAAGAGAGTAAAACAACATAAATCTCTTTATTCGGAATAAACTTAACTGTCAACAATCGAATAACTTTTAACAACTGTTTTAACCCAACAAAACAAACAAAGTAGTCATTTCCAACTGAAGTTACTTTTTTCAAAATCCTTAATCCACTTACCACTCTAAGTCAGGTAAAACTTTAACCACCATCTCCCTTATTGAAAATCACTGTCGTGATTAAATCTGATGCGACATTTCACGAAACGATAAATTCTATGTGCTTCCAACTAGTCAATTAAATTTGAAATGAAATCAATTCAACTCAATTTAAACCGAAGAGGATAAGTTGAAGCAAACAATAATGAAAGTGGATTAAAAGGAAGAGAAAAATAACTTCTGTGAAACGCACAATCACGACTTAAACAATCTCAAAATCACATCAATGTTGCACATTCAGAACCAGTGGTGATTAGTCATTTGAATAGATTCGTTGATGAACACTCACCACACAGGGAATTCAATCAAGGAAACAAAGTTCACAGAAAAGTATTCAGAGAAAACTTTTCTGTTATATTCAGTAATGCGTATCATTCACTGGAAATGGGAAGTGGCAAATTAGTGAGGATATCACTGAATACCTGATGTCGCTGCCACAGCTTCACAGAACCAAATTCAAACAATGAATTAAAACACGCTCACAAACAAAACAAACGATGAACGTGAATAAACAAATCATGACATCATTCGGAATCCTTCAGCGCGTCAATCGCCTCATTGATGTGTTTTATTTGGGTGCATAAAGACTCTTTCTGAAATTGAGAAGTGTTTATTAACCCTCAACTAATATTATCATATCAATTATTGATATGTTCATTATTTTCGATAATCACACAAATAGTGAAACGATAAATGAAAACTGATAAGAGTAAAAGAGATTCTGATTAATAGTGAGAGCATTGATTCACGGGACTTCCTTTCTGGAGATCTCCTTCTCTGGATTTTACTTTGATACAGAAGATGATATTGCTAACCTTTTCAGCATTGTTCGTCCTCACACCAAGCGGTACTTTTCGTTCATAATCTGGCTTCGACATCGCATCATCCAGCTTTTGCACTTGTGTGTCTAATTTGGCCTTTTTATCGTTCAATTTCGTTATTTCTTTTGCGACATCGATTATACCCTAAATTTAAATTTTAACATCAAAGCAGTTCACACACTTCAATTTCATCATTACTTGGAAAATGCAAGATTAGAAGTCAATCTGTGAAAATGAGATGATTTGAATTTCTGCTTCGAATAGTACAAAAATCGAAGATACTGCCTTTCTTCGTGAAGATATCTAATCTGGAAACAAGAATCGACTAATTCATGAACAATTTTGAGAATTAATAATGACAATGAGAATTGATACTTATCAAACGATTTTATTCACTGAAATGAAAAGTAGTGATAATAATGAAAATGAGTGTATTGATTACTTGTAATGCCAGCGATGCCTTACACTTTGCTGACACAGTTATCTGGGCACATCCCTTTGGTATTTGCGAACTTTGATCTGGTGTTAGAATGGATACCTGAATGAAGAGAATATCACTATCAAATATAAGTTAGCACTATCATTTTGATTAATATTTCGTGATTCAATGAGTAATAAGCGAAGCAGTACGATATGCGCTCTTCACTTATCGTAAATCATAGTTGCTGTGCGCATAGAACTTTATGACACGAATGCGAACAACCCAATTATTTATGAAGTTGTTAAACCGACCTGTTTTGACGATGTTAACGTAGAAATAAGAGTTGTTAAATCACCAACACCATCTGCATCTTCCTTATCCATAAACGTCACATACACTAAACGAAACAATTTGAATAAGTGCTTCAAAGAACGAAAGTTAAAGATGATTGCACAAAATCTTATTGGTACCGTTGCAGTAAAGAATCAAAGAGCTTGAAGTATCAAACAGGTACAAGTTATAACGAGTGAAATTTTNTATCTTCTATAGCAGTTCGCATCTATTGCTAATTTGCTATTCGACTAACAGCGAACAATCAATCCCATGAGATAGTTTGAAAATCAAAAACTATCCGAGGAAGCTACAAGTTTGGGTATTCCAGAATAGAATGCTGAATTCACTGTGTTTTGACTCTAATAGGTGGGAGTTTTTCAGTTTTTTGAATGAATGGGAAAAAAGAATGCAAATAGAGGAATAAGGTGATGTTTGTGATATCGGTAATAACAGGAAGACACAAACGTTCATTGAATTGTGATTGATTATCAAATAAATAAATACACAAATAGGAAAGAGAAATTAATTGAATGCAAAAAAAAATCCTACAATCAGCTTTAACTTTGGCAGTTAAGTCGTAATCAGCACGCAATGAACGAATCGTTTTAACAATATCCATTACGGTTGAAACACGACTCTCCAATTGCTCGTCTCGATAAGAACACTGAAAACAGTTTTTGTTCTTGGATTGGAATTATGACCTAGAAATTTGTTCAGAACCTGCTGAAAATGGAACGCTTTTTAGGTTTATAAAGCACAGACTGGCGATATGATAAAATTTCATCCGATTTATCGCACAGTTAGTAATTAGTGAACATTGCGTTCAATTTTGAAAATTTTGGCTTAAATAAAGTAAGACTGCAATGAAAATGTGGTTATTCGAATCGTAAGCAAATAACATAACGTCACATGAATACATAGTATGTTGATTAACATTTTTGACACATATGATTCTTTTTTTTATATTAGCATAACAACTCGATGTGGGTAGGATGAAGATGAATGATGGCAGTAACCTCTTCGATCTGAGGATATTCCGCGACACATATACTCAAAGGTTGTTTCTGATTGGATGAGGACGCTCTTCGTGGAAGTCTTTGCCACAGTTCTTCGGTTATGAAGGGCATGAACGGTGCTAGTAGCCGTAGCCCTGTGTCTATGCACAAATACAACACTTGACGAGTTGTCGACACTGCATTTTCATCACCTTAATTCAAACTTTTATTGCTGTCAACAGCGCAGTGTCAGATCATTGTCAGATCTAATCTGGATCATTCAATCAGGAGACTGATCGTAATCAAATCTACACAAAAAAAAAGATTCCATCAGAGGCGAAAAAACATCTGCACGGAACTGCGTGGTATGACAAAAACTGCAAAGAGAATTCTTCAAAGCTTGAAACGGTGACTTTCAAGAAAGAAAATAGAACAAACCACTCATCAAAATCGGTTTTGAGCCTTCAATATAAATATCGCAGAAATCGTATAACCAAAAATTGTACACAGCGTTAGTGGTTTGATGGAAGTTATAGCCACTCATGCCCATATCACATTCTTGAATTGTAAACGAAAGACGTGACAATATCCACTTATCAAGCGTTGATTCATTACCACACAACTAAATGCACTTCAATCAACAGAAACAATTTCTGAGATTACTGGAAGGGCCGCTGAAAGATGCACTCAACGACATCGTTCGGTTTCTCAAACACAGTGATATATGTGCAGTTGAAAAGCATGAAAGATTCGAGTACGCGATTTTGGTGGTGAAATGCAGAAGAAAAGCTCATAATGAGGTCGCAATTGAAGTGAGAAATGATGAGCGAAGAAGAAGGAACCTTGAATTGAGGCAGTGGTTTAAAGTGTTCTCCGAGCTGCATAAGAGTGAATCTAGATGCTTGCCAAATCTTATTACAGAAGAAACGATAGCCTTGAACACGTTGCACATCCAAATTTATATCACGCCCCTGACTCGTATACGACATCAACGCGAATCGTAATGCATCCGTACCACACTCCGGAATACCATTTGGGTAATCGTGTGCTTGATTCTCTTTTGCGAACTTCACTTCTCTTCAATTCACAATTCATGCACTATGACTAAACCAATCCTCATTCAGTTTTTAATTCATTGAGCACTGATCAGATTGCTAATCATTCATCGAAAAAAACGCTTCAAGTCAATAAATATGCTAAACCAGGAACATGTTTTACGAATTCGAATGAAAATGGCTTCTTTTGTTCATTGTTGTTGAATTTCAGCTGTCATATGTTTGAAAATGAATATTAAAGGACTGTTTACTTCGGATCCAAATTGCCACTTTCCAACTGTTTATTAAGCGTCATCAGAGAAACACCATGAATGACATCAATCGGGTCAATAACATTTCCCAACGATTTACTCATTTTACGACCGTGCGCATCACGGATCATCGCATGCAGGTATACCTTAATTTAATGCCAACAAAATAAACTTGTATTATTTTGCATCACATTTATTGTTCCATGCCCACTTTGTCCTAATAATAATAAGCAAAGTGTTCAGTCACTGATTGGAAAGCACTGAAGCATGATTTCCTCTCTTATTAACACAACCAAAAGTGAGTAGGAGAATCAAATGGCAGATCACCTCTTTGAATGGTAATTGTCCTGTAAGTTCTTGTGCCATAAATACCATTCGCGCTACCCAAAAGAAAAGAATATCGTGACCAGTCTCTAGAAGTGCTCCTGGGAAGAAACTCTTCATATCGGATGTTTTTTCAGGCCACCCGAATATCGTGAATGGCCACATTCCAGCCGAGAACCACGTATCCAATACATCCTCATCTTCAAAATAAATCACAGAGTAATAACATTTTGATCATGAAATCGAGTGAAGAATATATCCAGAATCCAATTCGGAATAATTTCACTAAATCATGGTTTCACTGGAGAATTTCAACATTCCGTCAGTTAACTGCATAGATCGCGTGATCAGATTTGATTTTAATAAGTCTATCAGCATGAAATACTGGAAGGAATTGATCTGAATGTATCCTTTCATTCTTTAAAAAATGAGAAAGCAAACAACGGATGAAGAAAACTAAACAAAGGAGAATTGTAACAACATACCCCACTTAACTGAAATTTTCTCTTTTGGAATGCTAAACTTTTTCGATGCTTTTTCAATCGCTTCTGCTTCATTATGTGCAGCAACCCAATAGTTATTATCATCAGCACTACCAGCCGGGATGCTGGCATCGTTAATCGTAATAAAGTAAGCTGGTATACGATGACCCCACCATAATTGGCGTGATATACACCAATCTCTAAACATTGTCTGTGCACTTAACACAGTTAAGTTCTCACATTTGGAATGTTTGGTGTTTATCATCACCAAATGAAGAACGTTACTAGCAGATATAATGATGTATTATTCGTAATATACAATCAATTAACAGATACAATGAATAATCAAAAAATAATGAATTTAATTTGAATTTAAAAAATGATTAAACTAACCTAATGCCTTCAAGCCATCTATTCCATGTGGTAATATGATAATTGGGTATTATTTTAAGGTCACCCTTTGCAACTGCATCAATAGCACGCTTTGCCATTTCATCGCACTTCACGTACCACTGCGATTTTAGTATTGGTTCGATTACGTCTTTCGAACGACTTAAATCAACCCATTCGTAAATCATCGTATCAATCACTAATTATCGGCATGATTGATAACAGTTTATAATTCATTGCTCCAGGCAAGTAAATGGACTATTCTTTTCATTAAATTTTTTTTCTAATACCTGCAAATAGGAACGATCATAGGATTATCTTTGACGTCTCTGTACAGTCCTTTCTTTTTCAAAGCTTCTAATACTGCTTCTCTTGCTTCGAATCGTTTCATACCCTGCAAATAACTTGAAATTAAGAGGTATAATACAAACATTCAGTAATACAAATACACGATGGAGAAATATAATGAGAATTAGAAACTGTAAATGAATAAGCACAAGCTGTGTTCATAAATTTCTTTCCAAGATTCAACGGGAACAATTCCCAAGATAATGTAGAAAGAAAGATTCACCTTGAACTCGCCACATTGCTCATTCATATTTCCATCATCCGTGAATATGGTAATGAATGGTAAATTGTGTCGAACACCAACCTCGTAATCGTTATGGTCATGCGCTGGTGTTATCTTTACAGCACCTTAATGAAACGGTCTGAATTACTTTTTTTTCTGCTGCTTCATCCAGAAGGGAAGATTCAAAAGAATCATAGTTGTTATTATTTGTCAAAATAGAGAAGATATGAATTATTTAACTGCGAATAAGTTTTTACCAGTTCCGAACTCTTTTTCAACAAATGAATCGGCGACTATTGGCAACTTTCGATCCACGAAAGGATGCTTACAGAACTGAAACATTCACTTATACGATTCTGTTGCATTGAATTACACCAGAGAACTTAAGATTTATGAGGTGCTAAATAGACAATGCAGCAACCTGCAGTCGCAACTATTCATTTTTATTCATGGAAATTTTATTAGCTATACAGGCGTTTCATTTCCATTTGAACTAACTCACGATCAGATTAGAACCAAATTAAAACTAACTAACTTCTAATATTTGATTAGAACCATATAACTTCTCGAATTTACATGTCAAGTGACTCAAAATTTAAATGCAATATGGTTTTCATGTAATCAACCGAAATAAATACCAGCAGATTTGTTCAAATTCATCAAATTAATTCCAAATATTCGAAGGAATCTCCCACTTTCAGCTACACAATTAGATGATAAAAGACATCAGGTGAAGTGTACAAATGAATAATAAAATGAAATAAAGAGAACCTTCCCAACAAGATGGTAATATCTATCATCGTCCGGATGCACAGCGATCGCTGTGTCACCAAGCATTGTTTCAACTCGAGTTGTTGCTACAATCACTTCTTCATCTAAAATATCTTTTTTAATTGTTTAATGACTAATATTCACCATTTCATTTCGTTCACTACTTTGGATTAAGCTCAGAAATAATCGCTCTCATCAATGTGGGCTGAATCGAACAACGACTGAAAAATCCAAGCGTGAGCGAATTAAAAATTCATTTCAAAAATGCTGTTAAATCAAAGTAATTTTACAGATTCATTTATAGCTAAGCAACGGTATTTTTCAGACTCTAACCCACCTACAAGAACAGCTTAAATAATAACAATATTCTTTACTGGGAAAACGAGTGAGAGCAGGTGCCGTATATCTCTTATTACATGTAAGCTTTTTTTCATATCTGTTGAACAAATGGACGACACCAGTTCGCGGTAAATTTTTAATGATCAATACTTAATATTGTAACATGAAATTTCCGCATTATTAACCTGATCCTTCAACTGGATATGCAAATGAGATTAGAACGCCGAATTCGACTTTCTTCGGATGACCCGGTACGGACAACATCGTACGGCCTGTCAATTCTATTTTGTCCACCTGGAATCAACAAACTACACAGGTATTGCTAGGTGGGATTAACATTTGAATGAGGAACGAAATACACATCAACAATACACTAATATCAACGAATCACATTATAGGATGGTTCTTACAATGGAATTACAATAACGAATTTTCGAACTTGATAAACAAAATTGACGGACCCATATGCAAAAGAATCACGGAGATGCAATTGAAAACCTAAACAACCTCGATATCCGAAATGGCCGATCGAAGTGTGCACGACCAATTCACGAGTCGATTACTTCGATAGATCACACCTTTATCATGCATCTCAACAAATGCGTGTGTCACAGCACGCATTATCTTCGGATCCATCATAAAACAAACACGATCCCAGTCAACACCTGCACCCATCTTACGCAACTGGTCGTAAATTATCACTCCCTTCCTTAACTTCATTCATTTACAATTCCGGTAGCGATGATGATTCGCAAATAAAGCTCATCAAACTGATAACTACTTTCGTTTCTGTTTACAACTGAAACATCACCTGCATCAGATAGCAAATTATCATTATCGAACCATGTACACATCACGAAATCATTTTCACTAATCACGGGAAGAAATGTTTCAAAAACCATCGACATCGCCTGAGAATGACAGAACGAATATTTGGAAATAACAGTGGTATGATTTGAAAACCTTACTCATTTTTCCACTTCCAAACTTCTTTGATAAATTTCTCACGACCAAGATCATGTCGACTCAAACCACGCTCTTTCTTCAAACGTTTCTCAACAACAACTTGTGTGGCAATACCGGCGTGATCACAGCCCGGATTGAACAAAACTGTTTCGCCTTTCATTCGATGCCTGAACTTTTTAACAGTTTCAGTTATTTAACTATTGTTTGATTCCATTGATATTTCACCATAAAATACAATCTGCTTGAAATTACAGCGTTTCTTCTCCTAATAAGGATCCTAAAACAACACAGTTACAACCCAAATGAAGAAAAATTATTAATAACTAAGGAATGAGAATAAATTCAACAGTGTTAAAATCATTTAAATATTCACTTGGTTTAGAGATCATTCAAAATATTGAACAAAACATTATACAAACCATCTACAAACAGTATCTTCAACTGATGTTGCTAGGGCATGCCCCAAATGCAATGTACCAGTCACATTTGGCGGCGGTATTACGACTGTGAAGTGACCCTTCGGGTTCGGCTTACTGAAATTCCATTGAATAATTCATCAAAATCAGTCATATATCGAAATAATTTTGCATTCGTGAACTAGTTCATTCCAATTTCAGACAATAATTTTGACACTGATCGAAGGATACTGAAATGATCAATTGGAGATTCTTCCACCGTATCACTACAATAATTTGAATATTCCGAGTGACCGTCTCGACAAAAAACGATACTTCTTCCAAATGAGCAATTAAAGCAATAGAACATTAGTTTCCATATTTGCTATAATGTTTTGTTGAAAACCTTAGTCATACTGATTCTTAATCTCTATTTCACGTAGTTCTAATCTAAACCAAAAGAATCTGACAAATAAAAATGAAAGCACAATAAAATTTTTAAAATCCAGAAATTATTAAGCATCTTCAACCACCATCTTGCTCACCTCATGTCACGTCCACCATATTCAGGTCTGAAGAACCCTTCTTTCTCCCACCAATCATACCAAGCTGCTTCAACATATTTTGGACTATAAGCGTTCGGCAAATCAATTGATGTGTCCTTCTTCTCACCTGGTTTTGTTTCACCGCTATACTCCATAACATCAGCTTTCGGTTTTTTTGGTCCTTTTTCCTGAAAGAAACGCAAATTGATACAATTACTGCGTAATCATTAAGGTATCATCACATTCAAAGAATATTCGATAAGTAGCACTTGGCTGTGCAAGTCAAATGCATTAAGTAAGAGAATGATATTTCAGAATACTGATCATTGGTAACTCGATAAATCGATACGAACCTCTTTGGGCTTGATCGCTTGAGCGGCCATCACTTCAGCCCTTTTCTTCTCCTTTTCATGAAATTTTGCCAGTTTCTCGGCTTTCGCCTTCTCTTTTTTCAGTTGTGCTTCACTTTTCGGTTTGCCATCGGCTCCGATCGGATTGATCTCGATCACTGCTTGCTGCTGTTGTTCAGCCACCATTCCGTTCATTTACTTCGCATACACCAATACACAATCAATGCGGGCACTCGAATATGAATTACCTGAATCGTTCAAAAACTGACTGAAAACGGCACAAAATCGACGGTCAATTCGACGTCAACTCAAAGTTCATGTCACGATGACGCAATATACTATCAGTCTAACAATTAAGATCAAAGTGGGCATCATCTCAAGTTCTAATCTTCGGAATCCGGTTGACGGACTCGTCTCTCAAAAGGGGTGCACGACAATTGACCAAGCGACAACTGTCAGCACGACGTTT